TATACAATTATGTAGGTGTCTAATAAAGGTCTTGGCGTACAAAATCAATATCTATAGTTTAATTGAATTTCATATCTTGACAAAATTGATCATAATGAAGTCTCTCGGTACGTTATAATTAAGTCATTAGCGAATATCAAAACATGGAAGCATGTAATAGGCGTGTGATTGATCGACGGTTAATTTCCCATATTTAGACAGGAATTTGGGGAACACCAATTAATTTCTCAGCCCTTATTATGATATTGCTCTTTCAAGTTGTGAAACTAAGAAGTGACAAAATCTTGAATAATAGTATTTTTCTAAGCCTAATTAGGCTTAATAACCTCATTGCGTGTTTTTTTTAAACGAGACCAATATGTTTTTTTTTTTTTTTGGTTTGAAAACAAAAATGCTTCACTTTTAACACCTAAATTCACCCTACTTCATTATTATGTGAAATATAAAGGAATACTACAAATTGTTCATTCTTATTTTATTAGATATATGGCATTCCTTCGATCAATTCTATAAAACTTGTAATAACAGTGACAGGTGAACATAAAATTCAGCATTTTTAAGTGGAAATATAGAAAAGACAAAAGAGCTGAGGGAAAATATCTAATACCTTTTTGAAAATCATTATATTTAGCAAAATAATCATTTCAATTACAAAACATGTAATTAATATGCTCTGTAATTACATTGAACGTTTACTTTAGCAATGACTGGTGTGACAAAAGGACAAGCGATATTAATGATATTTTACACTTTCTTAGTAAAGATGTTATTAATAATATTTACAACATGAAAACAAAGCGCTGTTGAAAAGCATCATTGTAGGGTCATATGTTTTTTTTAAAATGATCTTTGTAAGAAAAATAAACGACAAAGAACACAAATATCACACTTTTTAGACAGTAGCCCATATATATATATATATATGCATGCATGTATATGGAGCTCGGTTATTGTACAATGCATTGTATAATTGTATTTAAAATTTAACTATAATTAATAATGCGTAGTGTAGAATTATTTATTAATTGCTGTTTCCTTATTTGCATTGCAATTTTTTTCCTACATTAAAAAAGTGATTAAATAAGTTTTTTTATTTTGTTAATTTGTTAAAGTTATTTGTTAATTATTAAGTTATTTGTTTAAATTTTTTCCTAGCATTTCAAGTATTTATTGGAAGCAATATGACGTAATTGCTCACAATATACTCAAACACCTTTATTAATATAGTGCACTTATTTATTCATCTTATTTAAGTTTTTATCTAACCTTGGCTGGTCATTGTTATCCTTCGTGTATTCGATCATGAAATCGTAACTATTATTAGGGAACACCATTATATTTTTCCACCTCATGTCTGTTGCTATTACGAAACATGAGAGACAGAAATTGGTTTATGACGGATGACACTACAAATTATCACTATTGGGCACTAGAATGCTGTTGCGGACCATTCTTGCACTTTAGAACACAATCTTTTGTTAGCATTTGTCATATATTGATATATAACCATATTGATATTTATGGAATAATGAATGGATGTGAAAGCTCTTGTAGTATTTTTTATCTTCTATACTTGGATAAGGGCATATTTTATTGTTCCTTACAAAACAGTGGGAGATGCATTTTATTTCGGATATGGATTTAGTAATACGTAATACTATCAGAGCACAAAAAAGCTGTGTTTGTATTTTTAATGTATTTTCATTCTTCTTAATAAGTATAATATTGCTACAAGGTTTTCATCAACTTTCTTTCCTGTTATCTTGTTATAATTATTTAATAATATTTATAATGATCGTACGATTACCATTTCAAAAGTTTTTAAGGTAATATATAAATAATGACGGCAAAATAACATTTCTAGAGAAGGAAATTTTTTTTTGACATGTTCATTTTTTACGTTATAAGTGTTAAAATCTATGAAAGTATTTTTTTTTAATAATTCGGAGACGGTTTCGTTTATTATTTTTGCATGTTATATTTTTGTTACTTAATTAATTAAAATAAAGATAATTTTTGAGAATTAACTAGGTTAAATAGTTAGTATAATAGCGATTCTTAAATTGTTTGTTTTGAATCTGTTTAAGGATATGTCTGTAATAATATGATATATTAAAAATATATAGCTTTACGCAAGAACACGTCTCAAATAATAATGAATGAATTTTGAGGTTTCGCCAAAAACAAATGAGATGTAAATAGTGTTAATTTTATAATAACATAAGCTTAAAAAGTGATTTATTCATGAATTAAGAAAATACTAAATTGCTGGAATTCAACAAATCATAGGATATATATAGCTTAAACAACGAGGCACAAGTTAATCAATTATGTCTCATAATAAAACTTTTTTTTATCTGAAGTTTACTTATCCATGAGTCAATTGATATATTATTTAATTTATTATTGTTTCTATTTCTTTTTTTAATCTAAACAACACTCTAATAGAGTTAAATAAAAACATAAGAAAAAGTTAGAAAGTTGAAGGCTATAAGAATTGCACAAAAATGGCAAATACTTACACTGCTCTACAGTAATGGAAGAAACAGTTACAGTTTTTGTTATTTTTCATGAATTTCTCAAGAAATATTTCGAGAATTATTTTGTAATATTCTTAATATAATAAAAACGTATCTTTTTGTCTTATAAGATTATCATTTTGAAATTTTAAATAAAAAAAACGTTAAAAACTGCACAAATAAAAATCATTTATAGTTATTTCACACTGTGCGAGCACGGACAGAATAATTTTTTTTACAATTTTATGGTAAATTTTATTTTATAACTAATGAAAAAAATAAAATTTGAATATCCTTAAAGTTTAAAACAGTTTTCCCTGTAGCTTTTGTACTTTTCAAAAGAAAGCTCTAAATGTTAAGGGGTTTCTACAAATTTTATTTCGTATCATACGGCAAATAATTTAAGAAAATGATAATACCTTATAATAATCGCCCATGATCCAGAAAGTAATGGAATAAGGAAAGAAAACGTCTTTTTATGGGTGATGATCCTCCACATTGACGGTGTAACTTTAAATAAATCTTGGTAAAAGTAAAAAATAAAAGTTATGGAAAACCCCAATACACATATCGTTTAATCACATATAGTTTTGTTAAATAAATCGAGTAAAATACCATGGAATTTAGATGATCTGGTCCTTGATATATTTTAAATAAATTGATTTGATATATTTTAACTAAATTGATTTTGTTCGATACTAAATAATTGATTTCTACGCTGGTTCGTTTGATAACAAATGAAATGGACTGTATTAAAGATTTTTATTATGATTGGTGCTACGAGCACGCTCATGCTATAAGATCAACAACTATTTTTCAACTGATTAGGGTTACAACAAACGGTGGCGAGGATGCTGAGACAAAGATGCCAAGTTGGCGCTATATTTCTGAGATATTGAACAGATTTGATATATTTTAACTAAATTGATTTGATATATTTTAACTAAATTGATTTGATATATTAAAACTAAATTGATTTGATATATTTTAACTAAATTATAATTAGATTTTAAAATTTTTAATGTCAAATTGATCTACACGTAAACAATACGTGAAGGGTCAGCTTGCCCCCTTAGTCTTTCTAGGTATACAACAATGTTCAATCCCGTAAATATAAATAATTAATATATCGTGAATATTAATTGCCTCTATTTATTTTTATTTGAATTGCTGTGAATAACAAATAGAAAATTCGTCAATGTGCTTGAATGTATTTGATTCATGGATAGGAACTTAGTTCTTGTGTAAACTTAATAAAAACGATTTATTCCATTCAGTTGGAGGTGATTAACTATTCAATTCAATTTTGTACAGGAAAATGCGTTTTCTGTAAAGTTAAGCGAATTTTTAAATGAATTTTGCAGCATATTTACGCAACCGAAAAAGAAAGAACTGAAAAATTGAGATAATGTATCTGACAATTGGTTAAAATACTTAAATTACAGGACTAAGAATTTTATTTTCCAAAATTAAAGCAAACGCAAAGATTTGCTTTTTAATGTCTCGAAATGTTTCATTAGTTTTCCCATGTTTACGATGCTCCCGCAACCAAATAGAAGAGATTTCAAAATAAAAGCAGCACGAAATAAAACATAAAAGTTCCAGTCAAAATAGCATCTACCAAAGCAGTCACGAATTAAAACATTTCTATTCCAACAAACTATTTCTTGAGCGCACGTGTAAGGTGATTTAAGGCGGAGTTTCTCTAGAGGCGGAGTTGCGTGGAGTGAGTCGAAAGGCATCTTAGTCCTTCATTTCGCTCACAACTTCCAGAGTAGAAGGATGTATTGACACTATAGTTGTGCTAGTTGTGCTAACTTAGATGTTATTTATAGCTATGAATTTTTCTATCACAAATATGGTGCATTTATTTGAAGAAAAGTTTTTACATTTTGTCAGAAATCTGAAAACTTAGTTTGGTGCTACAAATTAGATATCTCTGAGGATTTCAAATAGTGAGCAAGTTTGTGAAAAATTTATTTTTCGGAAATTTTTCTTAAAAGCTAAAATGACATTTTACAATGTTTAGATTTTTTTGGGTATTTTTTTAAAAAATAATGCAGTTTAATTAGAGTCATAAATTGTTAGAAAATACTTTTATGGCACTGCTGTCGAATTAGTTTAAATTTTCAAGAAAAAAAAATTGTAAAAATTTATTAACATAGGAAATATTTTTTAAAAGTAAATAACTTATTAAAAGATTTAGAGCAAATATTTAAAGCCATTTTAAATTATTGCAAAGTTTATTTTTTTAAAATACTACGAACTAATAATAATTTATATATTAATGACGAAGATACATTAGATAATTATTTATTTCGCCGAAATGGTACAAACGTTATAAATATTATTTAAACATTTACGTTCAGGAATTTTATTTATTCTTAATTGAATTTATAAAACTAATATGTTTTAAAATAATTTATGATAAATAAACCTACATTTAAAAGGGCTTTAATTCCATTTTATTCCATTCAGTTTTAAAATAGAACGTTTTGCAAAATAAATTGTGAAAAATGTTTTAGACTTCCTTAATTGATTTTTTGAATTAACAAATATGCAAGATAATGTTCTTATTTCTACATTTACCACTTGAAATATATTAAATGATAATACAAAATAAAAAAAAAATATATATAAAATACTTGTAAGCGCTGGATCAACTACGTAGTCCTATGTAGTATAAAATTATTTACCACACAGTATTAAGTTGTAATCAACATACTATATTTATTTAATGCTATAATAATATAATTTTTACTAATTTATTAAATTACTATATAAATTTCATCATTATCGATAAAATATGGGTAATGCTCAACCCAAAGAAATTGATTTGTTGGAATTATATCTTAGAGACCCAGTGGTACGATATAACGTATCATGTTGTGTGAATGAGACAGAAAGGCTAGAAGGCGAACAGGACAATTGGGCCAAATGTCTTGGCCTTTTTCTACCAACTGCTCTTTTAAGTCGACCTTATTTACTGCCCTGGGAACAGCAAGCTATATGGGCAATACTGTTTGGCGTTATGATATCTACTGCTGTAGCCGGTAATGCAATTGTGATTTGGATTATACTAGCTCACAGAAGGATGAGAACAATAACTAATCTGTTTTTGTTGAACTTGGCTATAGCAGACTTTTTGTTGGCGAGTGGTAATGCCATATTTAACTTTGTGTTTATGCTGGAGAGTCATTGGCCATTTGGAGAAGGATTTTGTATCATCAGTAATTTTGTCGCCAATTTGACTGTTTCGACCTCTGTGTTCACAATATTGGCTATGAGCATTGACAGGTAAGATCTTTAGAGCTCATTCATTTACATTCTTATGATTTAAACCATTTAAGAGAAAAATATTTCTTTTTTTTGTTTTTAAAAATTCGAAAGAATATAATTAAGTAGTTAAAAAACATTTTATAATCTCTTACAAAGCTACATTTGATATTTTGGCGTGGAGTATTTCATAGTGTAATTATGCAAGATGCAAGACCCTTTCTTCGAAATGAATGTTTAAATCTATTAGAAATTAATTTATTAATAATGTATTTTTCTCATAAAAATACTTTTTCAGAATAAATTATGTTTCTAGAAATATGCAAGAAGCAAAACTCTAAATTTTAAGATATTTTTTTATTGTTTAGAATTTATAATATGATATGGAAAAAAAACTACGCAATTGTATCTACAAATACGAAGGACATGTAAGTCTAAACCTTTGTTTACTATAAGTGATGTTAAAACTATAAATATATTTTTATACCATCATAATTTGCTCACATGTTTACAGTTTTAAAATGTTACATCTCTTAAACTAAGTAGAATATATATTATTCAAAATTATTATTATTCCTAATATATTACAATAATATATATTATTCCTAAATAGAATATGTATTCTTTCAAAATTATATATTATTCAAAAACATATATTTTTTAAAAATTTTATTGAATTGAACTGAAATATTGCACGATATTATTTAAAAGTAATTTGTTACAGTATTAAATTTCCTCTTTTCGTTTTCTTTTTCTAAATATTAGAATTCAATTTCAAAATAAAAACTTGAATCGATCAGTATCCCTTATGCCATATTATTTTAAATTGTTTGATGAAAAACATGCCAATGCAAAGATTTGTGTGATGCAAAGATTAAAAACTAAATAAGCACAAGATAAATAATTACGTTAAAAAAATTTTATCGAATTTTTTTTTCAAAATGCATATGTTATATTTAACCTATTTGGAAGCATATTAAAATATTTCTAGTCATTTTTATGTCGTAAATTGTGCGAGATTTATGTATAAAATTTATCATCTATACTTATATCTTACATTTTATCTGTCTATCATTATTTATCGTACATTTTTCCTGCAAGAATTCATCCAGTCATTGAATTTTTATTAAGTTGCAAGTTATTAAGTCAAGTTGGACGTTGCATAGTTACAATATGCTTTTGTAAGGAATGTGCGTAAGAATACAGATACCTTAATTTTAAACTCTCTTACTTTTTATACTCTCATTAACGTGATAACAAAGTAATGAAATTTGATGAGCATTATAATTTTGTAAGATAAGTGAAATCTCACAATGCACAACAATGCTATTTGCTATAAGTTGAGCATTTCCGGAACAAACCGAGTGCGCCAGGGGGTAATGGAGGCTAAGCCTCTACAATTTCGTGACCGACGGCATGATTGTGACTATGTGGTCACCATTGTGCACGGGCCGCCTTTAACTTCCTCGTCAATCTGGTACCCATCGATTTGAAGCTGGGTGGACTTCAAGCCACAACTGGGGATCGAACAGCTGTTTTTCTCAATGGCAGTTCAGTGCCTTAAACGCTGAGTTATCGCGGCTCCCATTTTTGCTATGATAAGGGATGAAACGAATCAACTAGAAGTGAATCGATAGACTAAGTTTTTAAATCTTTAAATACGAACAACAACATTATATAAATTAGAAAATATTCATCTTGAATAAAATTTAGATACCAGCATTTGAGGATACTTAGTCACTCGTGTAACTTAAACCATTCTGCTGAATCAATTTTGGATGTTGAGTTTGGCATTGCTATTTTTGACTTAAGTTCCTTATTTTCTAGAATCTGTGACTAACACTGTTAGATACTTTGGATCAAACTAAGGTAAAAAGTACCGGTAATTTGGTGTCAGTGCATTTTATCGTAAAATCCATTTTTACCACAATATGTTACGGAACAAAAAAACTGATGTACCGTAACTTTTACAGTAATATTTATCGTAAAACCACTCAATCACTCTAGTTGAATAAATATTACTGCAGAAATTACGTCATAATATTTTACGGTAAAAATGGATTTTACGGATCATGAATTCAAAGTGCTGGTACTTTATACCATAATAGCGTACATATTTCACATCTACATAACTGTAATCCATAATTTAGTTATTTTTAGATTAACTCTCTATAAACATTTCAACGAAATCTTAGGCGGAATTTTATATATGATTTTCTTAATTAATAATATTTCCATTTATTTTTTCAATATTATTAATTTAATTGTTGTTTCCCATAAGTAAAGCAAAGGCTAAATTTTTTCCCTCATATTGTAACAATTGCATGCTATAGAGGATGTTATATTTTATCTTTTTACCAGCCCATCACCCACTAATATATATATATATATATATACANTATATATATATATATATATATATATAAATATATATATATACTGCAGCCAGGGTGCCAGTACTTTTTACCGTAATTTAATCCAGAATGCAGTTTAATTCAGCGATGACCTAAGCTTAACTACAATGAATTAGTATTTAAATTAATCACCTTGGATTGGAAGGTGTCTTAAATCGCAAAGCCTAATGATGGCACCTTCGTTTTATTTACAATTAACATTTTGGTATTATAACTGTTGACACTGAATCATATTTGTCTTTTTTTTCGCTCCACAAATTCATTAAATAATTATAACTGTCTTTTTCTAAATTTCCCTTTATACATTTAAGGTAGAAGTACAGGAAGTACACGAATAGCTTACGAATGCGCTTTTTTATTTTCCCTACATTGAATTCTAAGAAGAATATTAATTAGTTCATTATTGTTTGCAGGAGATACAAGCTGAATACTTATAATTTAAATTAACTGAAATTTTCTCCTTACATATTATGGCACTAGATGGCTCTGTATAGTCTAGTTCAGATGCTAAATAATTTTTATCGGTGATTTTTTTTTCATTGAAAAATAACGAAATTTTTAGTCTTTCTCAGTATTTAAATTTAAATTTAAAAAAGAAAATTAAATGAGGGTTTTTAAACTATAGAATAGCGAAAGTTATTACTAGAATGAAAACAACATAAAAGAATTAAAGATGAATTTTTTAAGATTGGAAGACGAAATGAAAAGAGGGAATAAAGTTATGCTTAAGAAGGTAAGATATAGTTGTAAACTTAACGGAATATAACGAAATATTGAATATGTTATGAAAAGATTTGCATGCGTAATTGTTTCAATACTTGTTCTGAACATTATATACTTTCCTTAATGTTAACTTCAAGACTTGTGTAACTTCAAGAAAAAATAATAATAAGTTTTAAGTAAATTGCATTATGCCAAAAAATGCGCGAAATCGTTTAGAGAGTGTTTAAATTAATTTAATCTCTCATGCTATATTCTGTAAAAAAATAAAAGAATTTTATTTAAGTATTCCTTGTTTTATTGTTAAAGATGATGCGTCTGCACTCTAGTACGACTTTTCTGTAGTGATTTCGGAGCAGTATAACCATCTTACACATAATGTTATTTATGCCCCATGTATTTCTAAATTCAACTTCAGTCCTGTTTTCTTAGGTCTTCTTGATGGAATTTGTATAAACATTGATGGTGGAAAACCTATAAAGAATTACACTAATATTTTTTTAACGTACTTTTGCTAGTTAAGTGGCAGGTTTATAAAGACCGCATATATAATACCCTGTATTAAACCAATTTAAACCAATAAATTTCTGTAATATCGGTACTACAGCATAGTTAGGTTTAAATTGTATCTTTTATAAAAAAAAAATTCAGATCGATCAAGAAGTGGTAGCTAATTGGGGATAGGTCAGGTGAATATGAATGATGATGAAGAATTTCCAATTTCAACGCCTGAGGTTTTGCTACTGTGAATTGTGTAGTGTGAGGCTTAACCAATAGGAGTAAATCTGTTGATCCCTATTGGAGTTATGACAATAGGAGTAAATCTGTTGACTAATTTAGGCTATTTGACTTCAAATTTAGCCTCATTTCACCCTGCCATTTGGTTGCAATGTATTTCTGATATCCGAAATGATTGTTTAGTTCATCATTATCGACCTTTACTCTAGGCAATTGTGTAGCTCATTTGTACTGTCAAAATTAGCTGTGGTAAATTTAACGAAAATTCACGATGCTGTAGTTTCTAGTTAAAACTCTTACTTCAGAACAATGTGCATTTCTGGAACTTCCATTTTCAACAAAATTAATTAAAAAATATTTTTATCCTTCTTAGAGATTGCGATATTTTTAAGCAGGAAAGAAATATGTGTAATTTTCAGAAAAGAAGGAAAAGTAAACGGTAAAATATTCAACTAATTTCTAATAATAAGATGTCACACCATTACTAATTCTACACCATACCTAATTTCTAATAATAAGATGTTTTAATAAAAATCTAATCTACAAATAAAATAAATTCTATAATAAATTATAATATTTTTAATAATAGTGCTCTTAATTAATAATAAAATGTACGATAAAATTTTAATTAGCAACTTCAGTGACTACATTTTGAGAAATGTTGCTTAATATATGACGCAAAAATAATAGTTATTTATTTAACATTCTTAAAAAATCCTGAATTACATACCTTAGAAATATGTTAAAGATATTAGGACTTAATAATTAAATTTACTTTTCATTATTAATTAGAATGATTAATTATTAATAATTAAATTTATGTAATTCTGCTTTAACTTATTTTTTTAAATAAACATCTTTTTATTTTAATTTAATTCTGTATTAAATTAATTTTACTTTACAGCTATCATTAAAAATGTAAGTTTCAGAATTAAGTATTAATACAATGCAAAATACAGAAAAGGAAAGTGGGTTTCTAGTAAATATACTAATTGTATTTAAATTTTCAACTGGGATTTTTTTAGTTTTAAACTTAGGTTTCTTAGCTTACTTTTGACAAACTACAGCTAGAAGGCAGATTCTTTTGCAAAATCTAATACCTGCCAAATAGATTGGAAAAAAGGTTTCCTCCATGTCTACAAAAAAAAG